CTTCTAGTGATTGGTCTATTTAAATCACCTATTTCTGCTTGACTCAGACTTGGCAGACTGAGTGCTTCTAGAAATTTGTCCATTTCTACCAGATTGTCCAGTTTGTTGACATATAACTATTCATAGTGTTTTCTTACAATTTTTTGTATCTCTGTTGTGTTGGTTGTTATTTATCATTTTTCATTGCTTATTTACTTGAGTCCTCTTTCTTTTCTTCTTGGTGATCCCAGTTAAAGGTTTATCAATTTTATCTTTAAAAAAAAAAAAAAGCCCTTGTTTTCATTTGTTCTTTTCTACTGTTTCTTATAAATCTTTATTTCCTCTCTGATTTGTATTATTTCCTTACTTTTGCTGACTTTGGCCTTTGTTCTTTCTCTTATTCTTTAAGGTGGTAAGTTAGGTTGTTTGAGATTTTTCTTGCTCTTGAGGAAGGCCCATATCACTATGAACTTTCCTCTAAGGGTTCCTTTTTGGTGTGTTTTGGAAAGTTGTATTTTCATTTTCATTTGTCTCTAGGTATTTCTGATTTCCTATTTGATTTTATCATTGACTCATTGGGTTTTTTTTATTAGTATTAATATGTTATTTAATCTCTATATGTTCTTTAGCTACTTTTCTTTCTGTAGTTGATTTCTAGTTTCATACTGTTGTGGTTGGAAAAGATGCTTGGAGTAATTTGTGTCTTAAATTTGTTGAGGCTTGTTTTGTGATTTTGGTATGTGACCTATACTGGAAGACATTCCATGTGCATATGATATGAATGTGTATTCTGCTTTTTTTTGCATGTAGCTTCATGTAGGTATCAATTAAGATTAATTGGTCTGTTGTGTCATTTAAGGCTCCTGTGCCTTTTTGGTTTTCAGTCTTGATTATCTGCCCATTGATGTCAGTGGATGCTAACATCTCATACTATTGTTGTATTATTATCAGTTTCGCTCTTTATGTTTGTTAGTATTTGCTTTATATGTTTAGGTGCTCCTGTATTGGGTGTGTATACATTAACAAGTGTAACACCCTCTTATTAAATTGATCCTTTTATCATTATACAAGGCCTTCCTTGCCTTCATTATAGTTTTTATTTTAAAGGGTGATGTGGTTTTGTGTGAGTATTCCTACCCACACTTTGTCATTTTTATTTGCATGAAACATCTTTTTTCATATTCTTACACACTTGTGTGTGTCTTCAGTCCTGAAGTGAGTCTCATACAGACAGCATATATAAGGGTCTTGGTTTTTGTTTTTAAATCCAGTCAGCCATCTATGTCTTTTGACCAGAGCATTTAGTCCATTGACATTTAAAGTAATTATTAACAGGCATGTACTTATTGCCATTTTATTGCTTGTTTTCTGGTTGTGGCTACCATGGGGTTCATGTATGTTGACTCATAATTATATCTACTTGTTTTAAACTTGGATAATCTTCAGTATTTGAACTTAAATGTTCAAACACATTCTGAAAGATCTATCTTTTTAAGCTGCATAACCCATGTTTTGTGTATTTGATATCACATTTTACATCTTCCTGCTTATTCCTTAACTGTTTGTTATAGTTGCTTTTCTACATTTTTCTTTTTTTTTTTATTTTTCATCTTTTAATCTACATACTGCCTTTCCTACAGGGATTTTCTTACTTCGTTTCAATTTACACAAGACCCTTCAACATTTCCTTAGGGTAGTTTTCGTATGTTGAATTTTTTAACTTTTGGTTACCTGACAAGTTGTTTATCACTTCTATTCTAAATGATAAATATCTTTCAGAGCAGAATATCATAGGTTACAGGTTTTTCCCTTTAACTATATCATGTCACTCACTTCTAGCCTGCAGAGTTTCTGCAGAGAAATCAGCTGATAGCCTTATGGGGACTCCTTTCTCCTTTGCATATGACTCTTCTCTTGCTGCCTTTATAATTGTCTCTCTAACTTTTACTGTGTTATTGTACGTCTTGGTGTAGCTCTGTTTGGGTTCATCTTGTTTGGAACCCTCTGTGCTTTATCTGAATATCTGTTTCCTCCTTCAGGTTTGGGAAGTTTTCAGCCATACTTTCCTGGAATGAGCTGGAACTTCTCTCTGTGCAGTGGCTGTCACCTCTTTATCAGGATGGGGTCTGATCCCAAGTTGCCAGAGCAGAAGCTTTCCTGTCAGGCTCAAGCTGCCTCCGTTCCCTTTCAGCATGAGCGTTTCTCTCTCCCGGCACCAGGGCCTTTGCCCCCTAGCAGGAGTGCTGAAGCTGGTGGGGCCTGTTCACAGACAGAGGTTCAGCGCACTGCTCAGACAGGTGTCTGTGGCTCCTTTAGATGCAACCCACGGTAGAGTCTTCTCCCTGGTTGTGGCCATCCCACACCCAGTGCCACGCTGTGGCAGGGACTGAGGAGGGATGGAGCATTTGCTTGGCTTTGGCTGGGCACACAGTGAAGTAGTTTCAGGAAACCCAGAAACCAGCCAGACCTCTCCTCAGAGGCACAGCAGGACCCCTCACAGCTGATCACTGTCCCCAGTCTCCACTTCGCTCCACAGGGGAGGAGGAGTCTGTGTGGTTTCTCTGTGTTTGTATGGCAGGGGATATTGAGGTGTGGTACAGTGGCTGCTTCCAGAAACATGTCCTGTTTCTGGGCACCGCTTTAAAAAGTGCCAAAAATGGCTGCTGCAGACCCACCTGGACCCTGCCGCCTCTGTGTCCCAAGGTTGAGTCTTTTCCCTGATCCTGGCTACCCCAGATTCATTACTGCATAGTGGCTCGGAATGAGCAGGGCTTGACTGTTCAGTGGCTTGAGCTGGGACCTGGAGGGACGTGGTTGTGGGAAACCAGGTAGCTGCTAGAGTGGACCTTTCTCCACCCTGCCTCAGAGGCAGGCCAGTGTTCATGTGCTGCTCTTTAATGGAGTCCAGGGTTCCCCAGCCTTTCCATCTGTCCAAGCAGTCCAGGGTGCTTCTCTCCTCCACTAAGACCCTGGGACTGGGACCCCAGTCTGTGGCTCAACACACTTACTCCCCATGTAATTTCTCATTTCCTGAGTTCTCGCCCAGGAGCACAAGTCCCTACCCAATCACTTTTCATTCATTCCTCACAGCCTTGGTTGCACAGTCCTTTTTTGTTTCTAGTTAGTTTTCAGTGAGAATTATTCCATCTGTAGATGTATTTTTGATGTGTTCATTGGCGTAGGTGAGCTCCATGTCCCCTTAACTCCACCATCTTGATCTCCTTTCTTCCATGTTGGGAATTTGATTACTGATTCAGTCTCTTTACTCATTATTAGCCTATTCACATCTTATGTTTCTTCCTGATTCATTCTTGGTAGGTTGTATGTTTCATTTTTTCTAGGTTATGTAAATTTTTAGCACATAATTGTTCATACTAGTCACTTATGATTCAGAGCATTTCTGTAGTATTGGCTATAATTGCTCCTCTTTCATTTCCAATTCTTTTTTCCTTAGTCCAAGGTAAAGGTTTGTCAGTTTTATCTTTTCAAAGAACCAGCTCTTAGTTTCATTGATCCTTTCTGTTGTTTTCCTGGTCTCTATTTCAGTTACTTCCACTTTGATCTTTATTATTTCCTTCCTTTTGCTAATTTTGGTCTTATTCTTTAGCTCCTCAGAGTAAAGTTAGGTTGCTTATTTGAGGTCTTTCTAATTTCTAAATATATGCATTGATGCTTTAAACTTTGAATTTTCACTGCATCCCACAAGATTTGTTATGTTTTATTTAATATTTCCATTTTTGTTGGTTTTAAGATAATTTTTAAAATTTCCCTTTTGATTTCTTTTTTGACCTAGTGGTTTTTTAGAAGTGTGTTCTTTTATTTCCACATTTATAAATCTTTTCACTTTCTTCTTGTTGATTAATAGCACTAGAGGTAAAGAACCTACCTGTCAGTGCAGAAGACATAAGAGACAAGGGTTCAGCCCCTGGGTCGGGAAGATCCCCAGGGCCTGGCAACCCACTCCAGTATTCTTGCCTGGAGAATCCCATGGACAAAGGAGCCTGGAGGGCTACAGTCCATAGGGTCGCAAAGAGGGTCAGACACGAGTGAAGTGACTTAGCACAAGCACACAGGTGTAAGTGATCAGAAAAGATAGTTGGTATGATTTCATTCTTCTTAAATTTGCTAAGATTTGTTTTGTGATCAGTATAATCAGTCTTGGAGACTGTTTCATGTGTACTCGAGGAGAATAAGTATTCTGCTGCTGTTGGATGTAGTGTTCTGTATATATCTGTTATTTCATTTGTTCTAAAGTGTGGTTCCAGCATTTCCTTGTTGATTTTCTGTTTGGACAGTCTTTCCATGGCTGATAGGTGGTATTGAAGTTGCCTACTGTTATAATATTGTTGCTGGTTTCTCCCTTAAGATCTATCAGTATTTAATTAATATGTTTCAGTGTTTGGGTGTTGAGAGTATATGTTACGATTGTTATGTCTTCTTATGTATTGACTACTTTATCATTGACCTTTGATTTTTGTTACCTTTTTTGGCTTGGAGTTTATTTTATCTAATACAAGTAAAACTGTGCCACCTTCTTCTGGTTTCTGTTTGCTTAAAATACATATTCCATCCTTTCACTTTTATCTTGTATGTCTTTTGAGCTGAAATAAATAAAAACTGGGATGATGCTCTCTGCACCTTGAATAGTGCTGTGTAATTTTACACAGCAGTCTCAGTTTCTATTTGCTAAACAATGGTTCCCAAAGCCAGTGTTTCTCATCACATCCTTTAGCTGTCTTTTGCTTCCAATTTAAATGATTATCCATGTACTCTTCATGCAGCATTTATGTATAGATCATTGTGAAAAACAATGAAAGTGAAATAATAGGCTAAATATCTTACTAAATTGTTGATAAATCTATGTTCCATTTCATTCTATATTTGTGAACACTAAGCACAGTCTTAATTTGTGTGTCTTGTTAGGTACCACAAAAAATGTCATTTTGACATTGTGTGCAGTATTTTATTGTTGAATTATTTTTTAAGTACTTTTTTTCTATGTATTTATATACATGTCATAGGAATTATCAAGAAACCTTGAGCTAAGTAGTAACAGTTTCCAACGACAGTTGCTTGCTGAAAGGAAAAGGACATGTGAGGCTCATGATGAAAATAAACTTCTTCAAAAAGAACTACAAGGACTATATGACAAATTAAAGGTAAGAATTTTATTTTAAATTGCATCATTTCTCCCTATGATATATATTAGATGAAGACTCAATATTTTAACACTGTTATTTATATTTGGAATTTTGATATAATATCATTTATAAAATTCTCATATTTTTGACACTTATAAAGAAAATATTTATTAATATAATCACTGTAACTAAAAATGAGACATTAGATTCACTAATGTAGATAGGAATGCTACAACTGAAAAAAGTTATAGAATCCTGGAAGAAAAATTATGGGTCTAGAGTCTTTCTCTGTTGCATTGGTTGAATAATCTAATGTTCTTCCTCATATAACCCCATGATTGATTATTTTTAAAGTTGTTTCAAATAATGCTCTTTTTTTCATAGTCTTTAGAGGAAACATTCAAATTATTTAATTTTGTTGAAGTAGATGTTCTTAATTCTATCCAGAAGTCACTGATGGGTTGACATGTTGTGCAACTTAAAGCGTTTATGCATTATCTTTCATAGAATTTTCATTTTGTTAATCAAATTTTCAGAGAGAAAGTCTTAGCTGCAAAATGGTGAAGAACACTTGTGTTTAAAAAAATGGTCTAATTTTTAACTCATCATTAATTTGGAACCCAAATTTGAGAGATGCTAATTAAATTCTCTGTCTCTGAGGCTAGGCCTGTAAGTCAGTTGAAAACAATAGGAGTGGATAGAGAAAGACTTCTGCCTTATTCTGATTTTCTTGACTGCTACTGTGTATTGGATTTTTAATGGAGAATCATTGGTCTACCCTAACCTAAATGCCCTAAAAGCATTCCTTTCTATAGTTGGTAGTTACAAAGGGAAGCTGGACTTAGGTGTATTCCAATTTGATGAGGAAAATACCAGTGGACAAGATGAGGATTTTTATTTTAAACTGAAACTCTATACATTCTTAATTATATTGGGTTTGTTTTTAGGAAAAGGAGAGAGAACTGGACATAAAAAACATATATTCTAATCGTCTGCCAAAGACTTCTCCAAAGAAAGAAAAAGAATTTACATCAAGAAAAAATGGTATAGTAGTTATTATTGTTGAAAGACATATTGCAGTTTATATTATTAATAAAATAATAAATTAATTTTTAGGTAGAAGGAAGATGAGGAGAAAGAACTTTATTGAAATAAATTTAAATTCCCTTATAGGTACTTTTCAGAAATCTTTCACTTTCTCAGTTTTTTCCCTTGAGGTCACTGAAATTATTTTTTACATGATTAAAATTTTTTTAATTGCAAGTTATTTGCTAATCTTTTATGAAAAAATATAAGCATACCCTAAATGGGATATTATAGTATAATGAATCTTTATTTATGGATTACCTACCTTTTAACTGTTATACATTTTACTAATTTTATTTCATCTAGTTTGTCTACTTTTTTCCTACCTTAGAGGAAATCCCAGCTGTTATTCATTTCACTCATAAATACTTTGGTGTTTTTATGCACATTCATACTTTTTTAAAAAAACAAAAGTGTAGATTTCCTTCTTTTCTGAATTCCAAAAAGTTAAAAACATAAACTTTCTAAAAATAGGATTTATTTTTAGAAATAGGATTTATTTCTCAGAATTGCCTTCAAATCCTAGAAATAAAAAAGTAGTAATAGTGAGTAGTCATGGAGCTGAGAAACATGAGTTATCTCATGTAGAGCATGAACATATACCAGTTGAATTCCATATATCTTAGCACTGTACAATTAGAAAAATTCTTTTATAATTTTCATGGTAGCTGCATGCCAGAGTGATTTTACAAACCAGTGTACAAAAGGAGTACAAACCAGTGAAGACTTCAAGCTGGAGGACTATCCTATAACACCACAGACAGTTATGTGTTATGAAAACAAAAGGGAAGAACCCGAACGTCTTTCTTTGGTGAGTTTAGCAATATGATTAGGTACTAAACTCTAGGTGTGAAGTATTCCTAAATACACAATATCAAACATTTAAAAATATCAACAATGAAGCGAGTGCTGTAGCTGTATAAATATGCAACTAGCCTTTTATAAGGAAAAAGATAACATCTGTGCATTTTATTAAACTCCTTTGGATTGACTGTCAGTTAACACTATCTTTCAGGGGCTTCAGAAAAGTTATACTTTCTGGGCTGGAGAAAGAAGAAAAGTTTTTAAGTGTCTTACCTTTTATGCCTCTTAACAGATAGTCTCTAAAAATCCTTCTTGCTTTTGTGTTTAATAACCAACTATAGTAGCTTTCAAATGATTTGTCAGAATTTGACTATATCTTTTTGGACTCCTGCATAAGAGACTTTTATAGGTTAGATGAATGTTGAACAAAGTAATTGCAGTAGAATCTGACTTTATATCATTCAAATTAGAGTAGCATTGAGGAGCTCTGCGTTGGATCCTCATTAAAAAGGATTCATTGAGTACTGAAAGGTCCTTTTCTCTAACAGGGTTTTGTCTTTGGTGTTTACAGTTGAGGTCTCTTCCTGTGGTATAAAACAGAAAGGATGGACTAAATTAGTTCCTGTGTGTACTCCAGTTTTTTCCTTTATTTCATTTTGTTTTACAGTTTAAAAAAGTTATTGTATCTCTGTGTTTCTGCCTACATTTGAATATCATTGAAACTGTGTGTGCATGCTAAGTCAACGTGTCCAACTTAGCGACCCCATGGACTGTAGCCCACCAGGCTCCTCTGTCCATGGGATTCTCCAGGCAGGAATGCTGGAGTGGGTTGCCGTGCCCTTCTCCAGGGGATCTTCCCAACCCAGGGATCAAACTCATGTCTCTCATGTCTCCTGCATTGGCAGTTGGGTTCTTTACAACTAGCGTGCCACCTGGAAAGCCCATCATTGAGACTAGATCTTACTAATTTTTTTCTTAAAGGTAAACTGTAGAATACCAAAGTATTCTTAATTTTAGAAAGGTAAAAAAAAAAAAAATTGCTCTTTTTAAGAGTCAGCACATGTGAGACTGACATAAAATAATAAATTTCCTCAATCTTCAGATGAAAACAAAACAAAAAGAGTCAGCACAAGCAGCAGCGATCTGGTATGGTGAAAGAGAGGATGTGGCCTTGGAGTTAGTGCTGCTTTTTATTTAAATTATGATCCTAACATTTTAGTGACTTGTATGACTTCTTGGAACATCAGTTTCCTAATCTATAAAACAAGGAGGGTTACCCTTCAGGTCTGTGGTAGTAACTAATCAGGAAGCTTATCCTGTAACTTTAAGGGGTCCCAGCAGATGGGAGCTGTTACTATTGGAAAGAGACCTAGAATACAGTGGCTTAAGCAAGATTCAAGATGCTTTCTCTGGTAGTAAACTGAAGGTCAGGGGATAGTCCAGGATAGGTAGAAAACTTTGTTCCATGGTAGCCATTCTTGGCCTGTTTTTCAGTCATAAAGAGTGTAACCTCATCTGTGTGGTTGGAATTGGCTTATGACACCTGGGAGGAGGAATAAGGAAGTGGAGGGCAAGCAGTTTTTGTTTAAATAAATGTGGTTAGAAGTTGCATCCATACTTCCACTCATGTTCCACTGGTCCTGTCTAGCTTCAGAGGAAGGCTAGCAAATGAGACCTCCAGTTGGGGAGCCCTATGCTCTGCTGAAACTCAAGGGATTCTGTAACTAAAAGGAAGAGGGAGGAAATGGAAACTAGGGGACAGTTCTTTCTTCTTCATGCCCACTAATTATATATTCTACTTTTATTAAGAAAAATCACACACACATGTGAAAGGGACCATAAGAAACAATACATTTTAAGTTTACATTTTTAATTGATTTTAAATGTTATGAGATTTACTAACTGGAGGCCTTGGGCATAGTATAAACTTTAAAGATTGAGTGCATCACTTGGGCCTTTAATAGTTGTTGAATAAATAGCCTTTTCTTGTTAACTGAATTCATCAGATTTTGTTGTGAAATGTATGAAGTAAGGGTACTTTAGAATTTTATGTAGGATATTGGTTCTGATATGCCTTGCAAATGCCTCTTTAAAAATTTTAACTAAAGTAAGAATTTTGTGTTCTTGTGAAAATCTTCCAAAGGCAGTAACGTGTGGCTTGCTGCCTTAGAAATGGAAAATTTGCTTTAATTTCTAACTTAGTTGGAATAGGCTTAATGGGAGATAAATTTATAATACTTACTTTTCCCCCTTTTCCGGCATGTGAACTTGCATTTTTTTTTAAAAAACACATAATAGGATCTGGAATCTCAAAAGAGAGATAATCTTGGAGAAGCTGGGATTCTAAACCCAACTGTGGAAAGAGAAGACAAATTTGCTAAAGATCAAGGACTCCATGTTGTGAAACAGGATGTTGAGAAGCTGGATAATGGTAAGAGTTTAAGCAAATGATGAGTCAACGTCCCTTGGGAAAGAATGGGTTAATATCCCCTAATATCTTCCAGCTGAACAGTGAACTGGTTATACGGAACAAGAGAAGGTTGAGATAATAGTGGTAGGGGGGTTCTTATCAAGAGTCACAAACATCTGAATGAAGTTTTGAAGGAAAGAAAAAGAATGAAGACTTTAAGTCTTTAAGTATATTTTTTAAACACAGAATATCAAGTATAAAAATGAAATTTATAGTGAACTGATCATACACAAATTAGCTAAAACTGGTTTGTAAATTAAGATGAGAGTTGTTTTCTTATTTGAAAATACTGACTACTATAAAATCCCATTTTAAAAATTTGATTTCATACAGGGTGGGAAAGAGAAGAACTTGCTAAAAAGCCAAAGGAAAAGACATCTTTGTTGGAGAGAGAAGGAAAGCCAGTGTTGGAAACTGGAAGATATCAAGTGGAAATGCACCAAGTTCAGAAAATTGATAAACTGGAAGAAGAGGAAGAAGAAAGGCTAAAAGAAATGCTACTTGCTAAACTGAATGAAATCAACAGAGAACAAGACTCTCAGAATGTAAAATATCCTTCTCTGCCATTGCTTCCTGACGTGAAGCCAAAACTGCATTCCCCAGAGAGAAACCCCAGAACACACACGTCCTCTGGATCCTCAGAGAGATTATTTAACGGGCATTATTTGCAAGACCTCAGTCTTTCAACAACGAAAGGAGATGGTCAGAATCCAGGCCATACTCGAAGCCCAGCCTCTCCAGATGAGCTTGTGTTTGGTAGCTATGTGCCTTCATTTGCAAAAACATCAGCGAGGTCAAATCCACTTAGCCAAAAAAGTGACCTTTTGGGTTTCTCAGGAAATAATACAGAGAAATTTAGTAAAGACAGTGTAGATTCAATTACCAGACAAGAAAGAAAAGCCACCCTGATGGAACAGCTGTTTGGTACCAGTGGTGGCAGCAGCCTTTCCTCTAAAAGCAGTGACCCAAATTCTCTGGCTGTCACTAAAGAAGACTGTGACCCTCTAAATTATCTCCCTGGGGATAAAAACAGCTGGGGTAGGGAACATAGTGATGATGATGACTTTTTCCTCAGCGAAGGAAGAAGTTTTAATCCAAGTAGACACCGATTAAGACATGCAAACAGTAAACCAGCAGTAAAAGTAGTTGATTCTGTAGAAGATGAAATTGAAGAAGTAGTGCTGAGATGACTGACTAGAATGTTTTTTTCCAATTGTAATTATTAGGATATTTTAATACAGTATTTATTATGAACATTTAGACTTTCTAATATTAAAAAGTCATCATTAACGGATAATTTTTAGTATATAAATACAGTGAAAAGTAGCTGATACCACTAGTAGCTACACACATGTAGCTAGTTTGCTAATAAGGAAGGAGGCTCTTTTGAATGAAACCAGAAATAGAGATGTATCTTACTTTCTTTGTGCAAATAAAGATGTATCTCACTTCCTTTTTGCAAATAGGTTTTACCTCTTGAATCAACTCTATGAGGAGTTTTACTCCATTGGCATACACATTCATTTTCTGTGTTATCCCTATTATTTTTGGTCTTATCCTCACTGAGCTAAGTACAGTTTTCCCGCTGATGGTTGTGTGGAAATGGAGAGATGCTGTAGGGAGCTGGTGCTACTAGGAACCTCTCCACTGTGACTAGGAGTGAAGGGGGTCCCTTTCTTATATGCCAAGACTGAGCTACTCTTAAGTGGAAACAGTGACAACGTGAGAATTTCCCATTCTTCTGGAAGTAACCACAGTTAAATGGTACTGATTTCGCAGTGACAGAGTCTGATTATATCACTTACCTACAGCTGTGCTAACTCATTAGGCTGAATTCCGAAGACGTCTTTCTGTTGGCATGAACAGTGCCCTCCCTGTCCTGGCTTCCAGAGGTTCCAGTGCAGTGTAATCGGTAATTCCTCTCCTTGAACTCCTAATGCTATCTGTATCTCAGTGACTGGTTGTGAGAGGTCATACCAAATGCACAGAATGGAAGAAATTTCACCCCACTAGAGCAGGATTTTCAACTCAATTATGATTCCAGAGTAACATAACTTGGAAATTTTAATATGTACTTTAAGATTTGAACTTACTGTCAAACCAAAGAGACAATGATCACATGATACCATTGGACTTAAGCGGACTAGTTTTAAAGCAGCCTTGGTGAAAAGTGTTTTACAGATGGAGCTCCTCCCTTGCTGAGTAGGGTGGAAGATGTTCTGTTGAAAAGTGTTAGTTTTTTTGCTGTTTCATAGCTCACTTCAGCTCCAGAGAGGAGTCAGGGACCTTGGATTATGCTGGGCATGAGTGGTCTCTAAGAAGCAGAAATATGCCAGTGGCCTAGGAGAAAACTCAGTGCAAATGAAGAGTGGTGGGAACAGTGTATCAGGGCAAGAATAAGTGGTGATTGGCACTTGTTCTGAAATGAACTGTTGTTTTCTAGAATTTGCTACATATTTGTTCATAGTAGGATTTCTGATGCCAGGCATACATACTGATCAGGGGATTCGAGTTACTATCTTGAGTTCTTATAAATGCTAATTATTGAATATAATTTCATAATTATCTGACAAGACTTACTGGTTAGGTCTCTAATTACAAGATGTACTACCTACATCTTCTAAATTGTGTTCCTGTTACCTACTAGGAACCGAATCTCTCAAAAGTGCTAAACTATATCAAATTTTTTTATAAAGAGATTTTTGGATTGATATAAATAAGCATTTACTATGTTGTAAGTCATTCTAATATATGTAAACCACAATATTTTTGTAATGCAGTTCTTGATAAAATATTATATATTAATTTTTTTCATAGCTGCTAATTTTTCAGCCAAAAGTATTCTCATTTTTAGGCTGTTTTTGTATTAAAGGTTTTTTTCTTTCAAAAGTCCTTTAGTAAAGTTTTAAATTCAGATCATTTTAATTAGTCTCTTTTTTCTACTTGATGTTTTCCAATCTTTTTAAACAGATGTAATAACACAGAATTGTTAAAATTAAATCTAAAATTAAGTTATAGACTTGAAGCATTATGGAGTTAAGCATTAAAATTGGAGACTAAAATGTACAGAACAAGTTATTCTTTATGAACAAACCTTAATGGATAACTTTTTTTTCTAAATGTCAAGTTAAATTTATCTGTACTCCAAACTATTACTAATAAAAATTTAAAATATGCTGCGACTCTGTTTGAATGATACTTTCCTTAGGTCACTTAGGAAATATATAGTGGAAGTAAGACCTGAAGGGTTTTTATTTCCTTATTCACCTTTTTAATTTTCCTTTTCGGTATTTTTAGTTGAAGTAGATGAATTTTCCTTAAATCAGGTTAGACAGTATGCTTAGTCTTATCAGATAATTAGTTTTAATTAATCATTTCACCTGTAATAGCTATCATAATGGCATATATTGCTCATAATAAGGTAAGGAGGATTAAACTGAATCATAAACCCACTTCACGACTGACTCGCTGTTGTTCTGCTCCTCCTCTCCACCTCATTTTCAGACATACCTCACTTCTGCTGTCCTGGGCTGGGTGTTACTCGGGTAGAGCCTGCAAGTTGGCCTGGTGAAAAGGGGACGGGAAATTTGTGTTCCTGTGACAGTGTGGACTTTCTAGGATTAAAGAAGTTACTGTAAATTGTCAAGAAAGGATCTGCTCTTAAAGCTTTTTTTCCTTCTGCACAATAAGTGCCCCTTTCACATTAAAGTCCCCTTTTATATCACTTGAAAGTGCTTTTTTACTTTTGTGAAGAGCATGGCATGTACTCATTCATTAACTGAGTGCTTCCTGAGGGTGCCCTGCTCAGCATTAGGTGCCAGGAAGAGGAAAACCCTGCCACTCCCCCAGTGTGGACATGGAGCAAGGCCACCCCTGCCCTTTGTTCACTTTCTAGGTGTCCTTGGGTTCCTGCACTCACTGGTCTCTTATAATACTGCTTGGGCTTCCCAGGTGGTGCTAGTGGCAAAGAATCTGCCTGTTGATGCAAGAGATACAGATTTAATCCTTGGGTCGGGAAGATGCCCTTGAGTGGAAAGTGGCAACCCACTCCAGTATTCTTTCCTGGAGAATCCCATGGACAGAGGAGCCTGGTGGGCTATAGTCCATGGGGCCACAAAGAGTCAGACGTGCTATGAGGAGTAAATACTTAGGTTAAGGTTTGGCAGGGTGCCTGGTACCTGACAAATAGTAAACTTCAACTGTCGTCACAGCTATTTATAGACTTCCTTTTAGGGAATAATTGGGAAAAAATAGAGCATAGATGTGTACATGATATACTGACACTATACTTTCTGTACAATATAAGCAAAAAGAGCTTCTAAACCTCTGAATTAAGAGAAAACATCTGTACCAAATAGATCGTGCCTCTTAGGCCTGCACTTGGCACATCCCTTACTGTATTCAGTGCTAACCATGCAGCATGATTGATGAGCTGCTTCCCTAATATACAAATGAGTAGAATAGCTAAATTTTGGAAAGGTTTTCTGAAGACAGGTTTAGTGACATAAGGAGGAGTGAGAGTTAGCCTCATAAAACAACAATGAAATCCAAAAACCCCAGGACTTCAATCACTTAATGTGACGATTTGTGTCCCAGAGCTCCCTCAATGTCTGTGTGTGTCCCTGGATACTGCCCTTCCCCTCTATAAGATGGGCTAATTATAGTCTCTAGCTTGTGGTACTTGCATATGTTAAACGAGTTGATGCATGAAAAACACTTAGAACTATCTGATGCTCAAGTTGTTGATATTTTGGAAAGGTAGTGGAGGAAAGGGGGAATGATGTGGTATTGTTGAATTCTATATGTGGCGGTTGGCATTTTTAATGTACATGCTCTATTTCATTGAATCCTCACAAAGTTTTTTTCTAAAGAAGGTACTTATGCTCTCCTTTTATCATTGAGACTAACAGGTTGCAATATGTGCCAAATCTATCATACACAGGTGATAGACTACATTCACTAGTCTCAGTTTATGTCCAGAGAAATAGAATATTTTAGGAAGAGTTTTGCATTAGTACTTTTTAAGTGGTAAAAGACAGATACCTAAATTTCTGAACCAGGAGATTATTTTGGCTTGAATCTGGAAGATTCAAGAAAATGTAGTTTGCTCTGGAGATTAAAATAGGAGTGCTTACTCTGTCCACTTCTCAGCCTTGCTGGGTATCATTTCCAGTTTTAATTCTACGTTTGCTAATAGTATTGGAATTAGCAGCCTCAAGCCACAGCATCCCTTCAGCTTGCACCTATCTCAGAAAGAGAAAATCTTTTCTGTAGTTTTGGCAAAACTCTGTTTGGCTAGTTGATGTAACATGCTCGCGGGTGGCAGGGGAGGGGTAGACACCCAAGTACATCTCTTCATGGAATGATCAGTATTGCTGTGGAATGGGGAAGGCATTTTTCTCTGATGACACTTTGGACACATAAAAACAAAACCATATTTACTACATTGCCCAATTTGTTAAAAATTAATGGCTATTGCCTGGTGGCTCAGATGGTAAAGAAACTGCCTGCAATGCAGGAGACTCAGGTTTGATCCTTGGGTTGGGGAAGATCCCCTGGAGAAGGGAATATCAAGAGAATTCCATGGACAGAGGAGCCTGGTAGGCTATAGTCCATGGGGTCACAAAGAGTTGGACACAACTAAGTAACACTTTCAAAGAAAAAAATATTGGAAGGTTCTCAGTGGAATAGTACTAGTTACTTACTCAACAAGCCTTATTCCTAGGAACAAGCCATTTTGGGGATAAGATCTTGCTATGAAGTTCATTTTGTTGTTAAAGGTGAGCAGTTTCAGCAATAGATGAGTCTGCAAGACATTTAAACTATGCTTTAGAGTTTATAGGAAAGGCTTAGACATCCAGATACATATTTTCTCATACAAATGCTACATTTGTGAAATCTACATCCATAGAAAACAAAGATATTCCACCTCAATCCAGAGCAGAACAAAAATTAGAAGTAAGTGGCCAGGGTAGGGGAGAAAGAACCCAGGCTTTGGGGTTGGGAGTTTGTAACTTAAACTACTTACTACTTTGGTCAAATAATTTTTCTTAAGGTTCCTCAGATGCAAAACAGGGCAGATCATATCTTACAAGGGTATTGTGAGGATGAATGAGATGATGCATTCTCCAGAGAATAAAGCTGTAGCATATCAGCAGAGGGAGAGCACCACCTCATCAGTATTTTACTTCTATCTCAACACCCCAGTCTTCTCTTTAACAAGAGACACTTGCTAATGTGGAGCCGAAGAAACTAAACGTGCTGTTTTACCCTGTGATCTGCCATCTTGGAAATGGCTCTTGTCTTTACAGACCCACGTGGAGGTTACGGTCTTTCGCAGAAGGCACTTTGCTGCTTCTGGGAATCAGCAGCCCTTGGGAGGAGTAGTTTTACACACATAGTTTTGCTTCACCAACCGTTTCCATGGAGGAGGAATAGATGGCAATCAGGAGCCCACACTGTGGTCTGCAGACGGCATTGAAATGCAGGGTGAAGCCTCCTGGCCTCGGAGCGAGGGTTGCCCTGAATAGCATGGCCAAATGTGGCTGCCTTGCCTCTCTCTTTAACTGACCTGAGTATCAGATTTCAGAATTCCTGTCCCACGTGATATGTGATATTGATCCTGGCTAGGTATACTTTTCACCCAATCTATATAAAACAGGACATCATAGATGTCAGATTTTTTTTTTTTTTAATCCTGATGAAAAGAACCCAAGAGTTACCTACCTAGGCAATCGTGGATACTGAGAACTGGGTACATCTGGGAGCAAAGGTGTAGTGGAGTCTTTTTTTCCTTCTCTAAGAACTTCCCCCTCTAAATCTTAAATTTAGCTTCAATATTTGCTTCTAGTCTCAATGATATCTGTAATATTTACTCTCCCTAAGCACTTACAGAGGAGCTCCTTGAAGTAATCAGCACAAATCTGTTCTAAAATATTTTCAGTCAAGAAGAAAATCTGTTCATGTTATCACCTCAAACATTATCACCAGGGTTCAGAATCAGTGCTGCCTGTAACTCTGAAGTCCAATTGTATAACAAATACGCACTCCTTGGTCCCAAGCAGGAAAGTATGGCATTTCCCTGGACAATAACCACAGTTTTCCTCTTGAAGAACAGACTCAGCATCATTTAAATAGACATTTGCTTTATACTTGCAGTAGTTCTCAAAGTGTCTCACCCCCCGACACACACCCCGCAGAGCTGCCGCAGTGTCCCCTGAGAACTTGTTAGAAATGCCAGCTCTTGGGCTCCTCTCCAGACCTCTGGAACCAGAAATTCCCAGGGATGAGACAGTCTATATGAAGAGTCCCTCTAGGGCATTTCAATGCAGCTCAAGTTTGAGAACCGTTGCTCTAAGGTAACACAAGGCGGTGAGGGTGGGGGGATGTTGCTCTTCAGACAGACATGGCTGCCTGCAGGATTTTGCAGCTTTGAATCCAGCACTTAAGACTTGGGGTCACAGTGTGCAGGTTCAGGATATGGACTCACCTTTGTCCATCACACTGCCTGCCACCTAGACTAGAAATAATCCGCCTTTTCATGCCTATAACCAGATATGGTCTGTCAGCTCTCTGTGGATAATGTATCAGAAGGTTTGATCTAGTCTTCTAGTTCAAACTAGTCTTCTATCAGAAGATTTGAACTAGGAAAGCGAAATGCCTTTGAACAACCAGCGCCAAAAAGATTGGGTCACTCCTCCGTCACAGCCTATAACCCCCAAGCTGCCAGAAAAACCTTCTAAACATCCTCCAACACTCCCTGAAGCAAACTAATCAATGGGGTTTACATCTGAATTCTTTGTGAACATACATTTTGTCATAGAAACACCTTTTTTTAATTTAATTTTTATTTTATATTCAAGTATAGTTGATGCACGTGGTGCAATGGTAAAGAATCTGCCTGCCAATGCAAGAGACACGAATTTGATCCCTGGGTCAGGAAGATCCCCTGGAGTAGGAAATAGCAACCCACCCTAGTGTTCTTGCCTGGACCCTTTAAAATTTACAAAGCACTTTCCTAAGACCTTCCCTGGTGGCTCAGATGGTAATGAATCTGCCTTCAATGCAGGAGACCTGGATTCCATCCCTGGGTCAGGAAAATCTTCTGGAGAAGGGAATAGCTACTCGATCCATCATTCTTGCCTGAAAAATTCCATGGACAGAGGAGCCTGGTA